ACATAGGTAACATTTTGGTAAACTTTTTTAAAAAAAGTTCTTATCAACGGGATTGGACGATCAAGCTGTACTTGACAGCAAGAACCAGCGTTTGTTTTAAAGTGCGTTAGTCTTTTAAGCCTTTTATCTGAGAGTTACCAGTACTGCATGACCAACTGACTTCTGAGACACACAACTATTAATTGTGCCACGACGCGGTGGAATCAGGCACTCGTCAGTTTTTGGGCGTGTTGTGTTATTGGTATCATCTAAAAGGGTACTAATTGCTTTGTTTTCAATGGAATAATATCCATCTATCTTGAATAGAAGTCGGGGTATTTGCGATTGAAGGAGATGCGCTTGCATGGTTTCAGTGGTAAAATAAGCAAGTAAATGGCTGCTACAAATGTTTGGTAACTTCAATAGTTGGGGAGTCCTTGAAAACTGAAAAAGCACGTATGTTGTGCCTTAAATCAACGTTTTCCAGTGACATTCACATGGAAATGTGGTTTTATAAGGCATAAAAGGTGTTGAGCAAAAAGAATTGTTAAAAACAAATTTTAAAAATTGCCAGACTTGCAGGAAAATGCCTTTTAAAGAAAAATTCATTATTTTGGCGAACGCCTGGTTTCACGGTGGTGCCTCACAATTGTGAAACCTTTAGAGTTCTCTAGCTATTGGTATTATCCGCATTATCGACAGCTCGAAGGTTCGTGCAAAAGCACCCCCACACTTTTCTTTTTCTCCCCAACCCCTTACCTTTCTAAAGCAGGTATCGTAGAAGCATCAATCATAGCCGAGTGCGTGTGAGACGGGCATTCATACCGACGAGGGAGGGGTTCATTGGCTCACCTTTTTTTCTCAGAGGTCCCGTTCCCTTAATGCATTTGCACCATTGATTCGCGAATTCCATTAGGATCGTGTACGGTGCTCGTAAGTTCCACACTTCGATTCTTTCGCTCATCAAGTGTTCGTAATTAAGAGGAGATTTAGCCCGCAGTGACTTACCGGTGGCAAAAGAACATGATGCCCAATACGGTTGGCCTGAATACAGCTTTTTCTTCCTCTTACTGTTGCGGCAATTGTTGTTGTTGCTAATGCTGTTGGTTTAGATGCTGCTGTTAATGTGCCGATTTTGTTATTCCTGTTGTTGTATCATTGCCTTTAGTTTTCTTGGTATTGTTGTCGCTGTTACTGATGATGATGTTGCCGCTGCTGTTGTTGGCGTTGTTGTTTGTGTTTTTGCTGTTGTTGTTGCTGTTGTTGTTGTTGTTGTCGTTTTTTGTTAATGTTGTTGTTGTTGCTGTCGTTGTTGTTTTTTGTATTGTTCAAACCAGCATCTAACAATGTTATTCAAGTGTAGTTTCTAAGGCGTTTTAAGATTTTGAGTCTTCACTTAAAGTGGGTTCTACATTTAACGTTAAAATGTACAATTTCTCTGAGAATAAAGGATGACGTTAATTCAACAGTCTACTTTCTGTCTTCTTCTTTCTCTGCCTCTGATTTTTTGCTTTTGCTCCTCTCTCATACCACCCTCCCC